CCATGCAGGAATTCAGGCAGGCCAGACCCATGGTGACTCTCCCACCACGGGGCAGCTCCCACAGACAGGGGGCTAGGGTGCGGTGCCATCGCAGTACCCAGCCCACGAACTCCACAGCCCCATCCGAACAAACGGTATCACGTCAGGGGCAGCCCAGCCAGGTGCATGCCAGGGGACAGCTCCAGGGAGTCCGCAGGGTACCAGAGGTGCTGGGACAATGTGTACAGTGGGGGGTGTTGAGAGCCATTGAACCAAACTAAACCCTGCCTATGATGGAAACCACATCAAGCCCCCAGCACCCCTAGTTCCAGCACCTGTGCTGTGTGGGCTTGTGGGGCCACTTGCTGTGGGCCGCTCCCCTCCTGGTATGAGTCAGGGGAGGGGAGCACAGAGCTCGAAGCCCTGTGAGTGTGGAAGGGCTGTTAGCCGTCGGCAGGACATGTTTCATGGCTCCTGTGCCATGTGCAGGGAATCTCAGCTCAGGCCCAGAGCTAGCCCGACCTCGCAGCCTGTGTGGCCCTAGGTGCTTTGTTCTGCCTTGTTCTGCTTGGCTGGGCTTTCTCAAGGTGGAGACAACGACCACGTTTGCTCTTCCCCCCAGAGACCAGCCTGGATACCAAGTCAGTGTCTGAGGCTCACCTGAAGAGGAACATCGTGGTCAAACCTGTGGAGGGCAGAGATGCAGAGGTAGGAGATGGTCTCCCCTGCCTTTGCCCTGTCATCCATCCCCACCCCTGCCTGCTGGAGACCACCTGACCTTGCCATGATGCAGTTCCCTGTTGTCTGGGGCTTCCAAGTAATGGGCCTTGAATGGGCCTGGTCCTGGGGGGTGATAGGCCTGTGCCTCGCTTGCTGAGCTGTACAGCTGTAATGGCCTAGTGGGGGCAGCGTTTTCCTGGGGAGAAGCAGGGGGGTTGTTCTGTTGGTGGATCTCACCACTGATCGACTGCCTGCTGAGTCAGCCACCCTCCTAGTGTGTTTGGTGAGGTGCCCAGCGAGGCTGGGGCGTATGGCAGGCCAGGCACTGGGGAAGGAAGTACAGGTCTGTCGCATCTTACACGCATTTAACATGCGCGATTTCAACTTTACGCGGTCGGCAAAAACAAAAACAAAAAAGAGAAAAATAACAGTTTTAATACTATACCTGTAGTACAGGCGATTTCGCCCGCCATTGAACTCAATGGGGTTTTGGCTATCGGCGGTTTTTGCTTGACGCGCTAGCCGCGGAACGGAACCCCCGCGTAAGATGAGACAGACCCGTACTGCTGTGCGGGAGAGCTGGGCAAGACAATTCAGTGGACCAGGTTCTGTTGGTCAATGCGGGGTCATCGAAATCAGGCCTTGTCTACACTACAGGGGAGGTGTACACGCTACAAAGCGACTTTTGGTGGCAAAACTCTGCTGTTTTGCCAACAAAATAAAACCACCTCAACGAGAGGCGTAAAGCGTCAGTGTAGACACTGCGGTTGGGTTTGTTCCGCCAGTAGCTCACAATGCTCGCCGTGACCGCTCTGCTCACTGGTTTGAGCTCTGCTGCCCGGCAGGCATGCGCCCCTCCCCTTGCAAAGCTCCCAGGAAGTATCGGACAGCTGAGCGTGCTGCTCCCTTTGGGGAACAAAGAGCAAATCCCGACAATGCTCCGCTCTGCCCTGCACTGGGAGCACAGGGGCAGGCAGGGTGCTGCTGCGGGCTGGGCAGGGGGCAGGGGACTGCCTGCTGCTTTGACATTCCTCAGCAGGGAGAGCTCACAGAGCTGCTCAGGGTGTCCCCCAGGGCCGCCCGAGGGGGAAGTGGGGCAATTTGCCCCAGGCCCTGGGCCCTGCAGGGGCCCCCACGAGAGTTTTCGGCGGGTCTTCGGCGGCAGGTCGAGTGAAGGACCCGCTGCCGAAGATCCAGAGCTCCTTCTGCTCTGGGTCTTCAGCAGCAATTCGGCGGTGGGGGCTCCTTCCACTCCGGGACCCGCCACCGAAGTGCCCCGAAGACCCGGAGCGGAAGGACCCTCGCCGCCGAAGACCCCAGGCCCCCTGAATCCTCTGGGCGGCCCTGGTGTCCCCCTCCCCCCGTCTCAGGATAGGTCGGTCAGCCTGCTGTCTCCCCACCCCAGGCCCACCATTCTCCTCTCCTTCCCCCGACACACTTCAGTTTAAACGCAGCTGACAATCCGATGGGATTGAGAAACCTGCATCATGTGTCGCTGTACCTGCCCCAGGAGGCATTGCAAACCCTTCCCAAAGCACCCTGCGGCCAGTTGCATCGTGGGTTAGCTACCACAGTGCACTGCTCTCTGTGTCGATGCAAGAGCTGCTAGTGTGGATGTGCTCTGCTGACACAAGGAGCTAGTGTGAGATGCAACAGTGGTTTTAATTAAAGCAGCAGAACTTTTGCCAACAAAACTTTGTAGTGTAGACAAGGCCTCAGTGTCAATTCTGGTGCCATTTTTGACAGAAGAAAGTTGAAATGAATGTTTTGATTTTCTCGTTTCATTTCGACCAGATCGATAATGTTTCATTTTGATAATACTAAAGCATTTTGATATGGTAAAGCCATCTCATTCTGACGTGTTTCAAGGCATTTCACTTGGACTTTTGTATTATGTTCAAACATTGCTTTAATGGTATATTATGTTTACTAGTCACTATTGTATTGTATTTAATATTTAATGTGATATCAAAGTCTAAACAAAATGAATCAGAACTACGGAGTAAGAACATGTTTTTACCTTATCAAAGGGCCACACTTTTACCATGATCAGAATGCAATGATTTGATGGTCCCAGAATGCCCTGTGTTTTGGAGTTTGTGCGGCACAGGAAATGGCTCTTTGTTCTGACTCTGAACTAATTGTTCTCTGAAAATCTGAATTTGCAGCTAAATAGAAATTCTGATTTCCAACCATTTCCACTGTGGTTACGGCACCGCATGGGACTCTGGAGACCTTGGCTCAAGTCCCACCTCCGCCCCAGACTGTGTGATGCTGGGCAAGGCTTTTAATGAATCTGTAACTTGGGGTGAATGATCCTTCCCTTCTCCCACCCTTCCTCTGTCCTTAGACTGTTTGTAGGGCTGGTGTAGCCAGGTCAGTCCCAGGATATGAGAAAGACAAGGTGGGGGAGGGAATATATTTTATTGGTCCAACGTCTGTTGGGGAGAGAGACAAGCTTTCGAGCCACACAGAGCTCTTCTTCAGGTCTGGGAAAGGGACTTTGAGATCCCAGCTAAACACAAGTGGGGAGAGTTTGTTAAGCAGAAGCATTAAGGCATGTTGGAGGCGGTGGCCTGAAATGAAGCAGGCAGTTCTAGGTTAGATTATTATGCATAAAGGGGTTGAAGTGGGTAATTAAGGGTAGCAGGCAGTGTGGTGTTACAAACTAATGAACCTCGGAACTTCAATTCATAACTGCTAGATACCAAAAAACATGGACTGAACAGGGACACTTTATGGCTCATTACAACAATTCATAACACACCACACTGCCCACTGCCGCACTGCCTGGAGCGACTCACAACCATGAGTGCCAACCTCAGGGCAGACTGTCAAAGAGCAGGGCAGAGACCCCAAACGGGTGGTACTGTATGTTCTATAATTAGATTTCACCAACCCAGTAATGAGAGTGACCTCCTAAAACACTATAATCGTCTGACCGTGGACTCACAGACAGTCCCCTTTGGGCATTCCAGTCTATCTTGCCAGCCAGGCCA